TGTTCCCCATCATGACACTCGTGAAAATAATATCAGATTGATATGGCAGTCAGTGTAAGATCAAGTGCTGGCCGAAGATCCGACAACTTAACTGGCCCCGATATCTCACCACGAAAAATACCGTATAAATTTTATTGCTACCGTAAGTTTTATCGAATTTAATCAATTTTCATCGATTTTTAGCGATTTTCAAAGATTTTTCTTCCTCAGAAAAAAAAATTGAAAATCTATTGAAATTGATTAAATTCGATAAATCTTACGGTAGCAATAAAATTTATACGGTAGCTTTCGTGGTGAGACATCGGGGCCGTTCAGTTGTTGGATCTTCGGCCAGCACTTGATTTTACACTGATTGCCATAATAATTAGTTATATTTTTCATGAAAAATGCCTTGAAAAATAAATTTTTGAAAAAAAAATCGAAAAATTCGTAAAAACCGTTTTTTTGATTTTTTTTTCACCCTAAAAAAACATTTTCGAATTTTATCGGCCCAAACTTTTTCGGAAAATATATTTTCTCGGTTTTTCGTCCAAAAATTCCAAAATAAAAATTTTTTTTCGAATTTTTTTTTTGAACGTCTTTTTTGCACAGCCCTGTTCTCAATCTCGCACAAATTTGGTGCAAAAAAACTAGTACTTTCTTTACTGTAAAAAATGTTAGAGTTTCATGAAAATGAGAAATTTCGGCTCCCTTGAGAAAAAAATATGACAGTATGATTTTTTTTCGTGGCGAGAGCCTCAATTAACAACTGCTCCGCGAAAGAGGATACGGTACTCATGTGGCTTGCGGACCAAACACTATATTTGACGAAAAATAAGAAAAACTCATCTATCAATCTCCGCATGCAAATGCATTTCCATATTCTTATTGTGCTGACCGACCTCCGAATTTATTTTTCTCAAATTTTCATTCTCCTCCGTCAACGTTTTGACTTTGTGTTGTAACCTGCAATTCCTTTTTTTTTTCAAATCATTTTTTTCCTAAATTCCACAAACGATTTCAGCTCATCCTTCAACGACTTCTTACTATCATTCACTCCATTCAACGAGTTCGCAGTCTGAATTGCGACCAATTCTCCACTCAATTCCTCCTTCAACTTTTCAAGACTCTGTAGTTTATTGTTGAGTTTTTCGATTTCCAATGACTTTTGCTGAGATAATTTATTCAAGTTTTTGAGCTCTTCGCTTGTTTTGATATTGCGAATTCTAAGCGTAACGTTATCGTTGTTCACTCTTTCCAGCAGTTCTGACTCTTTCATCTTTTCCTTGTTCTCCTTGGCCTTGGCGCGGGAGGTCAACATTCTGGAATTAAGAAAAATTATTTCAAAAAAAAATGATGAAGAAAAAAAAACAAAAAAAAACTGCCCCTCGCGGAATCGAACCCTCGCCTAAAATTTCCAAAACGACAGCGCTAACCACTACACCACGGACGCACATCCAGAAACCGAAGCAGAGGGCGTAAACATTCTACTCACAAGTCTGCGTATGCCTCAACGCCTGCCATAAAATCTTCCAGTCTTTGTGGCGAATACTGTGGAAGATTTGCATCCAGCTGCTTCAGAAATCCTACCAAAAGGCACAACAGTTTTTGATAATCATCCAGTAGTCCTTTGTCCTCCAATGAAGATAAAATCTTCATGGCTTTCTCACGAATAGCCGAATCATCCTGGGTGATTGCGCCGGTTTCATTTTGCTGAAAGAAATTATTTGAAAAATTGGAATCGAAGGGATTTGGGACCTTTTCATCGGACTAAATGGCAGCAGGGGAGGTAGCTAAAATTTTAAAAATTGATGGTTATAGTTAGTAAGGTTAGTATTACTAAAAAACACCACAAGTGCATGTGTAAACTCATTTCTCTTTTGTCAAACTGAATCAAAATGTTAGTACTTTCGAGAAAAAACGTTAAAAAGTGCGAAGTTTTAGTGAAGGATCGACACAAGGAAGGTTATGAACCGGAAATGATGAAACCCAGTAGCCACCCAGTGTTCAGAGCGGCATAACTCAGTTGTCTTCAAAGCTATCAAAAAATTTTAACTAGTAAAATCTTAAAAATGTTTTGCTGAACATTTTGTCAGTTGACTATTTTTTGATAGCTAAAACGGCAACCAAGATACAGCGCAATGAACAAAAAGCGCTAGGCAAAATGTCTAATATAGGTTCCAAGCAACTTAACTCGGTTGTCTTGAGAGCTATCAAAATGTTTTCAACTAGTAAAATGTTTAAAATGTTTTGCTGAATATTTCTTTAGTTGACCACATTTTGATAGCTTCAAAGGCAACCGAGATATAACGCGCTGAATAGGAAGCACTAGGTGTACTTCGACGAAATGTTCACTTTATGTTCAGGGCAGTATAACTCAGTTGCCTTCAGAGCTATTGGAAAATTTTTAACTAGTAAAATGTTCAAAATGTCTTGCTAAACAATTTTTTAGTTGACTATTTTTTGATAGTTGAAACGGCAACCGAGATATAACGCGCTTAATAGAAAGCACTAGGTGTATCTCGGCAAAATGCCGAATTTAGGTTCTTAGCGGCGTAGCTCCGATGTCTTGAGAGCTATCAAAAAAATTTTAACTAGTAAAATCTTAAAAATGTTTTGCTGAACATTTTGTCAGTTGACTATTTTTTGATAGCTGTAAAAGCAACCGAGATACAGCGCGATGAACAAAAAACGCTAGGCAAAAAGACAACTTTGGTTCCAAGCAACATAACGCGGTTGTCTTGAGAGCTATCGAAATGTTTTCAACTAGTAAAATGTTTAAAATGTCTTACTTAACAATTTTTCAGTTGACTATTTTTCAAAATTCTCAAAGACCACCGAGATATACCGTTTTGAACAATAAGTACTGGGTCGACCACTATTAAATGGATTTGCGGGAAGGCTACAGTAAGAATTCGAGACCTTTTCTGGAAATTACCTAATTTTTCAAAATGAAAATCCCTACAAAAAATCCAAGGATAAAAAATGGAGGAAGATAGGAGCAGAACAGATAGACACTCATAAAAATACCAGTTGAATAGCGAAAAAATAAAAAAAAATGCATATTCGCTCTATTGTCAAAATTATATCCTCCAACTACCCTCATTATATTTTTTGAATCCAAATTTTTTTTTTGAAAATGTATATTCGCTCTACTGACAAAATCCAAATTATAATAAATTAGCTTACAGTACCCAAAGAACTATTTCAAAAAAATCGAAAAAAAATTTGCTAAGCTTCAAAAAGAAGAAAAAAGAAGCGAAGATTCCGAATGGCAAGGTTATGCAAGCTAGTCGACGCTGCAGCAGCAGCAGCCGATCGATCGATAAGGGGAAAAAAGTGACCACCCGCGACGTTCCGTAGTCGTCTAAGTTTCTTCTGTCGTTCGCGCCTTGTTAGGAGAGAGAAAGAGAGAGAGAGAGATAGAAATAACATCTGTAAGAGTGTGTGTTTTCTTATCTTTATGATCTATTGTTGAACTATGGTTGGAAGAATGGCATATGTGTTCAGATTGGCATAAAAGTACACCGCCCATCGTTTCAATTCTAGATTTTTGAGGTTTTCCTTTAGATTTTTCAGTGAGTACCAAGGATGATTTAAGTGGTATGGCTAGCGGACAGTGCATTTTGATAATTGCCGATAAAATGTCGATAATTATCGAAACATTTGTCGAAACATTATTTATCGAAAAGGGATTATCGATAGTTGGTACCGAGCTACAGTAGTCCTAGCTCTTACTTAATCATACCCAAAAATCCGGGTAGCTTGAACAAAACGAATGTCTTGATTCCTTTAATTAACGAGAATCTCGATTTCCTGCACAAAACCCTTGTGGAAGTGACAGGAAGATTTATGAGTAGAGCTAAGCCCCCAAAAATAGATGTAGTAGTACAACTACAAATGCTCAGTCTGACAGGCAGGCACTACGATTATTCATGTGATGAGTCTGAAGCACTTTATTTATTGAGATCAATAGGAAAAATAACAATAATACAATGACAGGTGGCCTAGGATTGGTCCCTCACGAGACTATCCCGGGAGGAAAATGATGACACATAACACGGGGGACAT